CCATTTCTAGTTTTTTATTTCCTCGTTTTATTCCTTAACAGAATAAGTAAATTTGGCCTTTCTGAACATGGCAGTACTGTCTGTGGCTCGCAGGAAGGTTTAACTCCTCTGCCTGGATTTTGCAGCCTCTTCACTGAATGCCAACCTCATACAAATTCTAGGATCGTCTGCAAGGATGATACAAGTGCAATGATTTATGTCCCTGTCTATGTCGGATATGAGGATGACGATAAAGATGGGGGCGAGTACAGTGCTCTGGGGAACACAGCTTTTCACTGTAGTAAGGGCAATATAGACGTTATTTCATCTGGGAGTCATATGTCAGTCTTTTAAGACGTTGATAAATGATGATGATGGCTTTAATCTCTCATTAATAATTCTTAAATTGGCTAATGTTTTGTTTAGGTGTTAGTGTTAATCATTATGCAAATGATGGGTTGTGCAATGAAGGCATTTATATTGTGAACCAGTAAGAGGAACTTTTTGTTTTTATTACCCCGTCCCCCCCCCCCCCACACAAAAAAGGTAACCAAATCTAACCGAACTTAGAATTTAACTCCTGTTCCAGGTTAGGTTAGTTTATGTATTATCTGGTTACCGAAATGAATACAGTATCAAGTTTTAAAGTAATTACATAATCTGCAGTTATTCTCAAAAAAAAAACAGCAGGTAAACTACATAATACATATTGAATCTACATTTTTCCCCTCTTATCTTGTCTCCTAATGATTTTTAGTGGTGGAGTGGTAAGCCAGTGAAAGGCCTCGGTCAGATAACCAAAAGTTGCAGCTGTGGGTCATCATATGAGCAAGACCCGCGTCAGGAAACACTTGTCCTGTTTCCTGACCAATCTTACCTAACCTAACCCTTCCCTCAGCACAGCATATACACAACAACTGATGTATGTCTCGGCGTATATGTGCCAAGAATTTAATCCTTACTTTAGGTAATAAAACATTCTTGACTTGTGTTGTAACTAGCGGTTTTAATGACCCTCATGTAGTCGATAGGCTTCAAACCCCTCTTTAACCAATTAACTTCTCTTTGGAACGAACCTAATAATAAACTATATTAAGAAATTAGGAAGACACACAGTGATATAACTCTACATAATATAGACCTTATATCTGATATACTGAAATCGTCTTGCTTACTTAATTAGGTTTCAAGCTTATCTACTACACGAACCCCTCAAGGAAGGTTCCTTGATGTTGGTGAGGGGCTCTTGATTTAGGGAATTGGATCTGTGCTCCAGTTCCCCGAATTAAGCCTGAATGCCTTCCACATCCCCCCCCCCAGGCGCTGTATAATCCTCCGGGTTTACCGCTTCCCCCTTGATTATAATAATAATAACACTACACGAAGGTCATTAAGGTTGCATGTGACCACCATCAGTCAAGGATTCTTAATACACTTAAAAGTACTAGCACGTCGGTGTATCTAAACTGAAAAAATACACAATTCTTGGTGTATATACAGAGATATACACCTATCAGTGAATGTATACAGTATATACACTGAAAGATATACAACTCTCAGTGTATATAACCTTGTTTGTTAGTAACAACATAAGTGTATGTACACAGAAATGTATCTCCAGTAAACATACAGTGAAAGTGCACTAGTGCGTTGCAGTCGACAGGCTTCAAGCCTAACACACTAAATAGTTAACAACTTTAATAAGCCTCGTACAGTAGACAAGCCATATATAACATTACCATCCATATTTTTTACATTCTTTACTACATGTATCATACACATGTAAACATATTTAGCCACAAGTCACTTTAATGTAAGTTACGACACGTAATTTAATATTATTCCAACTTTTTTTTCATTCTCGACTGTGTGGGGGTAAAGCTGACGCATTAATAAAAAAAATCGTAATGAAGGTAATCCGTTTATTTCAAAGCTGAGCGTTCGTGAATCCGCATTAGAGATCCTTTAATCCGGGTATGACAACAATACTAAGGCTCGTTTGTCCTTGCTTCCGGCCATGTTTGTGTCTGTGTGTGTTCTCACCTATACGTGATTGCAGGGGTCGAGTCATAGCTCCTGGCCCCACCTCTTCGCTGGTCGCTACTAGGTCCACTCTCCCTGCTCCATGAGCTTTATCGTATCTCTTCTTAAAGCTATGTATGTACTCATCTCTTTGTGGTTGCAAGGGTCGACAATCAGCTCCTGGCCCCACCTTTTCACTGACCGTTACTAGGTCCTCTCTTTCCCTGCTCCATGAGCTTTATCATACCTCGTCTTAAATCTATGTATGGTTCCTGCCTGTGTGTGTGTACTTACCTATATATCGTTGCAGGGGTCGATTCACAGCTCCCTCTGGCCCCGCCTCTTCACTGGTCGCTACTAGGTCCTCTCCCTGCTCCATGAGCTTAATCATACCTCGTCTTAAAACTGTGCATGGTTCCTGCCTCCACTACATCACTTGTCAGACTATTCCACCTCCTGACAACTCTATGACTAAAGAAATACTTGTTTACGAAAATGTTATTTGTCAGTTGTTGCAGGCGGGGTTCAATGATAAGGCTTCAGAGGCTTCTCTCTTTATTTGCGATATCTGGGTACACAGGCAGTGTTAGTGCCCTAGCCTCGTTGTGGGCCATGCCCGCGAGGGAGAGAGGAGTAGACCTTGTTGACTCGAGGTTGCCTGGGCGCGAGGTGAGAGCGAGGTAGGAGTGATGGAGGCTGAACTGAATAAGCCTATAGGTGGCAGCACAAGCATGGCGCGAAAGTATGAACTCAGCTGGCAGAGAGCACAGACTGTCTATGAAGATAGTACAGACTGTCTACATACTTCCTAACATCTCTTTGACTCATTTGAGTCTTCAACTTCCAATCAGAACCCTTGTTTCTGTGTCCCATCTCTGGAACATCCTGTCTCTGTCCACCTTGTCAATTCTTTGCAGTATTTTGTATGTCGTTATCATGTCTCCCTTGACCCTCCTGTCCTCCAATGTCGTCAGGCCAATTTCCCTTAACCTTTCTTCGGAGGACATTCCGCCTCTTCACTGGTCGCTAGTCGGTCACTCTTCCCGCTCCATGAGCTTTATCATACCTCTTCTTAAAGCTATGTATGGATCCTGTGTGTGTGTGTTTATCCTGGGTATCAACACTGGGTATAAACAGATTAAGACACTGAGGGACCTAAACTCTGGTCATCGACAGAAACTCATTACACAGATGAGCGAAATATACGTAATTTTTTTCCAACGAAACGAAATGAACGATAGATTTCAGAGGCAAACTTAATACACGTTTTAAAAAATATATATAACAGACCCCAAGGGGCTAATTATTTTCGGCAAATATGCAGAACAAGGAATAATAAAAATAAAAACAAATCGTAGCCTCTAATTCTTCAACTTCAAAAAAAAAAATATATATATATACATATATACATATTACCCCAGCTCGCACCAATTATCAGCGGAAAATAAAAAGCGTAGAGAAAGTCTGGAGCAATTATAAAATGCATCAACAGCGAAATTTATATTAGAGGGAACGAGACTCGGATATACACGAGGTTTGTGATTTGGTGCAGCAGTCCTAGGATGGCCGGACCTGGAAATGTGAGAATATGTGGAGGGAGAGTGAACGAGGGAGAGACAGACTTGACCAAAGCATTAAAGCCGATGCTTTACATAAGGGTTAATAAGGCTTAGAGCCTATCGACTAAACTAGGGTCAAATTAAAGCTGCAGGAAAATACAAGCAGGGTTTTCCAGTGGGGAGTGGAGGACAACATGACGTTCCAGAGTGATAAGTTCCAGCTGCTTAGACATGCGAAGAATGAAGAACTCTGGGACGCTGTATACAAAACTCAAGAGGACGTAATATTTTTCACCACCAGAAAAACAATATTGTCATCCCTAGGAAAACAGATTAAAGTAAACTCGGTACATATACGCTGAGAGATATACAAGAATATCCAGCAGCGGGCAAGAACTTGCGTCCGGTAAGGCCAAGAAAGCTGACTTACCAGACATGCTACTATTACTACTACTGCTACTAATAATAGAACAGCGTATGGTTCATGAAATCGTAATAACACAATAGCAAACACATGACAGAACTGGGTGGTGCTTTAAGATCCTCACCAGCCATGGGTTCTAGTCTCACCAGTTCCATCAGATATGTGTTTGATCTTATATAAAGTACATTTACCAGAATAAAATTGAGACTAAGCTCAGACTCTGAACTGAGCTGAGGTAGGATAACAGCTCTTAGCTTGCAAATATACAAGAACTCTGAGAGAGAGAGAGAGAGAGAGAGAGAGAGAGAGAGAGAGAGAGAGAGAGAGAGAGAGAGAGAGAGAGAGATGAAAATTTTTAACAACAGATAATAATTAAGAGGAATGTTGATATCAAATAACTATCATATATAAAATAATCAACTGTCTTTCAGCTTGAAGATGAATAATATTTAATAAATGACTGTAGAATAAGAACAAAGAAATTTCTGGTTAATATAGCAATTATATTATTTCTTTTCAGTTTGCTTCGTGTTGAAAATATAGCTAACAGTATGCATGCCAAAACTCTCTAAATTACCAACAGGATTAAAAGCCTATCTCCTTCACGAAGGCTAAATCTTCTATGTCTTTTGATGAAATATTGATGTAGTTGTTATTGGCTTTGGCTAAGATAGTGGAGAGGTTGTTGCTACTCTGATAGACAAAATGTTCAATGTATCCACTGGCTAAGATATTGGAGAGGTTGTTGCTACTCTGATAGACAAAATGTTCAATGTATCCACTGGCTAAGATATTGGAGAGGTTGTTGCTACTCTGATAGACAAAATGTTCAATGTATCCACTGGCTAAGATAGTGGAGAGGTTGTTGCTATTCTGATAGACAAAATGTTCAATGTATCCACTGGGTGTAGTGTCAGACTTCTGCGTAGTGTTTTTTCGACTTTCTTGTTGCAATCAGTGATGATATATCGTGAGTAGTGGAGTTTGGTGAAAACTTAGTTGATATAAATATATACTTGTTCGAGACTCGGGAGTGTCTTCTCTTGTGAAGCTCCGATGATCCATCGCTTGGTTCTCTTGTGAAGCTCCGATGATCCATCGCTTGGTTCTCTTGTGAAGCTCCGATGATCCATCGCTTGGTTCTCTTGTGAAGCTCCGATGATCCATCGCTTGGTTCTCTATGAAGCTCCGATGATCCATCGCTTGGTTCTCTAGTGAAGCTCCGATGATCCATCGCTTGGTTCTCTTGTGAAGCTCCGATGATCCATCGCTTGGTTCTCTTGTGAAGCTCCGATGATCCATCGCTTGGTTCTCTAGTGAAGCTCCGATGATCCATCGCTTGGTTCTATCATGAAGCTCCGATGATCCATCGCTTGGTTCTCTTGTGAAGCTCCGATGATCCATCGCTTGGTTCTCTCATGAAGCTCCGATGATCCATCGCTTGGTTCTCTAGTGAAGCTCCGATGATCCATCGCTTTGTTCTCTAGTGAAGCTCCGATGATCCATCGCTTGGTTCTCTAGTGAAGCTCCGATGATCCATCGCTTGGTTCTCTAGTGAAGCTCCGATGATCCATCGCTTGGTTATCTAGTGAAGCTCCGATGATCCATCGCTTGGTTCTCTCATGAAGCTCCGATGATCCATCGCTTGGTTCTCTAGTGAAGCTCCGATGATCCATCGCTTGGTTCTCTTGTGAAGCTCCGATGATCCATCGCTTGGTTCTCTAGTGAAGCTCCGATGATCCATCGCTTCGTTCTCTAGTGAAGCTCCGATGATCCATCGCTTGGTTCTCTAGTGAAGCTCCGATGATCCATCGCTTGGTTCTCTAGTGAAGCTCCGATGATCCATCGCTTGGTTCTCTAGTGAAGCTCCGATGATCCATCGCTTGGTTCTCTTGTGAAGCTCCGATGATCCATCGCTTGGTTCTCTAGTGAAGCTCCGATGATCCATCGCTTGGTTCTCTTGTGAAGCTCCGATGATCCATCGCTTGGTTCTCTAGTGAGGCTCCGATGATCCATCGCTTGGTTCTCTTGTGAAGCTCCGATGATCCATCGCTTGGTTCTCTGTGAAGCTCCGATGATCCATCGCTTGGTTCTCTAGTGAAGCTCCGATGATCCATCGCTTGGTTCTTGTGAAGCTCCGATGATCCATCGCTTGGTTCTCGTGTGAAGCTCCGATGATCCATCGCTTGGTTCTCTAGTGAAGCTCCGATGATCCATCGCTTGGTTCTCTAGTGAAGCTCCGATGATCCATCGCTTGGTTCTCTAGTGAAGCTCCGATGATCCATCGCTTGGTTCTCTCATGAAGCTCCGATGATCCATCGCTTGGTTCTCTCATGAAGCTCCGATGATCCATCGCTTGGTTCTCTAGTGAAGCTCCGATGATCCATCGCTTGGTTCTCTAGTGAAGCTCCGATGATCCATCGCTTGGTTCTCTAGTGAAGCTCCGATGATCCATCGCTTGGTTCTCTAGTGAAGCTCCGATGATCCATCGCTTGGTTCTCTTGTGAAGCTCCGATGATCCATCGCTTGGTTCTCTTGTGAAGCTCCGATGATCCATCGCTTGGTTCTCTCATGAAGCTCCGATGATCCATCGCTTGGTTCTCTTGTGAAGCTCCGTTGATCCATCGCTTGGTTCTCTCATGAAGCTCCGATGATCCATCGCTTGGTTCTCTCATGAAGCTCCGATGATCCATCGCTTGGTTCTCTTATGAAGCTCCGATGATCCATCGCTTGGTTCTATCATGAAGCTCCGATGATCCATCGCTTGGTTCTCTCATGAAGCTCCGATGATCCATCGCTTGGTTCTCTCATGAAGCTCCGATGATCCATCGCTTGGTTCTATCATGAAGCTCCGATGATCCATCGCTTGGTTCTCTAATGAAGCTCCGATGATCCATCGCTTGGTTCTCTAGTGAAGCTCCGATGATCATCGCTTGTTCTCTAGTGAAGCTCCGATGATCCATCGCTTGTTCTCTAATGAAGCTCCGATGATCCATCGCTTGGTTCTCTAGTGAAGCTCCGATGATCCATCGCTTGGTTCTCTAGTGAAGCTCCGATGATCCATCGCTTGGTTCTCTCATGAAGCTCCGATGATCCATCGCTTGGTTCTCTCATGAAGCTCCGATGATCCATCGCTTGGTTCTCTAGTGAAGCTCCGATGATCCATCGCTTGGTTCTCTAGTGAAGCTCCGATGATCCATCGCTTGGTTCTCTAGTGAAGCTCCGATGATCCATCGCTTGGTTCTCTAGTGAAGCTCCGATGATCCATCGCTTGGTTCTCTCATGAAGCTCCGATGATCCATCACTTGGTTCTCTTGTGAAGCTCCGATGATCCATCGCTTGGTTCTCTCATGAAGCTCCGATGATCCATCGCTTGGTTCTCTCATGAAGCTCCGATGATCCATCGCTTGGTTCTCTTATGAAGCTCCGATGATCCATCGCTTGGTTCTATCATGAAGCTCCGATGATCCATCGCTTGGTTCTCTCATGAAGCTCCGATGATCCATCGCTTGGTTCTATCATGAAGCTCCGATGATCCATCGCTTGGTTCTATCATGAAGCTCCGATGATCCATCGCTTGGTTCTATCATGAAGCTCCGATGATCCATCGCTTGGTTCTCTCATGAAGCTCCGATGATCCATCGCTTGGTTCTCTAGTGAAGCTCCGATGATCCATCGCTTGGTTCTCTTGTGAAGCTCCGATGATCCATCGCTTGGTTCTCTTATGAAGCTCCGATGATCCATCGCTTGGTTCTCTCATGAAGCTCCGATGATCCATCGCTTGGTTCTCTCATGAAGCTCCGATGATCCATCGCTTGGTTCTCTTGTGAAGCTCCGATGATCCATCGCTTGGTTCTCTTGTGAAGCTCCGATGATCCATCGCTTGGTTCTCTAGTGAAGCTCCAATGATCCATCGCTTGGTTCTCTTGTGAAGCTCCGATGATCCATCGCTTGGTTCTCTCATGAAGCTCCGATGATCCATCGCTTGGTTCTATCATGAAGCTCCGATGATCCATCGCTTGGTTCTCTTATGAAGCTCCGATGATCCATCGCTTGGTTCTCTCATGAAGCTCCGATGATCCATCGCTTGGTTCTCTTGTCGTCATGTGAGTAGCAGTGTAAAAGGTAACTGTCAAATAATCGTTTACAGTAAACTTTAAAATCAGACTGGTCTCCAGGTTTTTGAATCAACACGTTCAAGAAAGAAATCTTCCCGTTCTTGTTTTTCCTCTCTATGCATAACTCTTCTCAGGAGTTCCGTTCAAACTTTACACAGCCCCATGTCTTGTTTTTCTCTGTATGGACTGAGTACAACACGTCTTCATAAATAAAATACCATAACTCCACACTCTGTTTTATTTACATATAAGCCAAACTTTAATATTCATTAGACTTTGGATCAGATATCTAGAAAATCCAAATCTATTTGATATTCAAAGTTCTTTGGCGTTGGCAACACACTCTAGAGTAAATGTCTCTTATACACCAGAGCTGGAAATATAGGCGGCAATATCTACGGTCCAACACGCTAACTGTCAAAGACCAGGACTTTTGAATTTTAAAAATTGGACACAAAAAATCGAGTTTCAGATTCGTACAAACATAATAAGTGAGGATATGAAGGCAGCAACATGAATTTTAACCATCAAGTCCTCTTTGTAACCTGGTTTTATGTAATGGCTCTGACATGTGACTGAATGATGGGGGGAATTCTAGTCTGTCTTACATGAAGAACACTGTAATGACGTTCTTGTGTGTGTGTTTGTTCTTAAGTGTGTGTACTCACCTATTTGTAGTTGCAGGGGTTTAGTCGTAGCTCCTGGCCCCGCCTCTTCGATGGTCGTTACTAGGTGCACTCTTTCCATGTTCCCTGTACTCACCTATTTGTGGTTGCAGGGGTCGAGTCTTAGCTCCTGGCCCCACCTCTTAACCGGTTGCTACTGGGTCCTCTCTCTCCCTGCTCCATGAGCTTTATCAAACCTCGTCTTAAAACTATGTATGGTTCCCGCCTCCACTACGTCACTTTCTAGGCTATTCCACTGCCTGACAACTCTATGACTGAAGAAATACTTCCTAACATCCCTTTGACTCATCTTAGTCTTCAACTTCCAATTGTGACCCCTTGTTTCTGTGTCCCCTCCCTGGAACATCCTGTGTGTGTGTGTGTACGCGCACGCATTTGTTTGTAGGTGCAGGGGTCGACTTCCAGCTCCTGGTACCGCCTCTCAGCTGGCTACTACTGGGTTCAGTCTCAGCTGCATGAGAAGTGTCATACGTATCCTTCAAGCTGTGTGAGGAGCTTGCATTTATCACGTTGTCCAGGTCGCTACTCTTCGTGACCACTCAGAGGCTAAAGAAATATTTCGCTATATCTCTGTGACTCATCTATGTCTAACCTCAAACTGTGCCCTCGTGTACCTGTTTCTCACGTCTCGAACAGTCTACACATGTCCACCCTATCAAGAAATCCGAGTATTTTGTATGTCTTCATCATATCTCCCCTGATTCTTCGGTCCTTTGATATCGTCATACACACACACACACACACACACACACACAGCATGTCACATCATATGCGTCAATAATATACCTTCACAGGGAAGCACTATTAAGGTTATATATCATGCATCTCTGGCAGTTCCATCTGTCTAGATGTCTAGGTGTATATACTGCTGGAAGAGTATATTCTGCAGGAAAAATATATACTGGAGGAGTTTATGTTGCAGACAAACCTCTCCGTGTATACACACACACACACACACACACACACACACACACACACACACACACACACATATATATAATATATATATATATATATATATATATATATATATATATATATATATATATATATATATATATATATATATATATCTTTCTTTCAACACACCGGCCGTATCCCACCGAGGCGGGGTGGCCCAAAAGGAAAAACGAAAGTTTCTCCTTTTACATTTAGTAATATATACAGGAGAAGGGGTTACTAGCCCCTTGCTCCCGGCATTTTAGTCGCCTCTTACAACACGCATGGCTTACGGAGGAAGAATTCTGTTCCACTTCCTCATGGAGGTAAGAGGAAATAAACAAGAACAAGAACTAGAAAGAAAATAGAAGAAAACCCAAAGGGGTGTGTATATATATGCTTGTACATGTATGTGTAGTGCGACCTAAGTGTAAGTAGAAGTAGCAAGACATACCTGAAATCTTGCATGTGTATGAGACAGAAAAAAAAGACACCAGCAATCCTACCATCATGTAAAACAATTACAGGCTTCAGTTTTACACTCACTTGGCAGGACGGTAGTACCTCCCTGGGCGGTTGCTGTCTACCAGCCTACTACCTATATATATATGTATATATATATATATATATATATATATATATATATATATATATATATATA